ATGCAAATAAAACGCATCCATACATACCACCATCTTCGTTCCTATCGTTTCCTTGATTATCGTGGGATTGAAAAAACGAATAAAGCTCATCCATACATGTCGGGTCGCTGAGCATTGCATGAAGATTTTCCAACTACATAATTAATAACTATATATATATATATATACTTATAAGTTGGATTGTCAAACATAAACAAAAACTATCAAAATACATTGCTATTTTTAAACTAAGATAGAAAACCAAAGTACATTGCTATTTCTTGCACTTGGAACAAAAACCTAATTACGAAACTTTTTAGCAAATAATCACCACAAAACTAAAATTACCAATTCCACATGCATTTTACCATGCTAAAGTAGATTGCTATTTTTAAACTAAGATAGAAAACCAAAGTACATTGCTATTTCGTGCACTTAGGCAAAAACCAAATTACCAAACCTTTTAGCAAATAAGCACCACAAAACCAAAATTACTAATTCAACATGCATTTTATGATGTTAAAGTAGATTGCTATTTTCATTTGATGTAAGAATAAGAATTCATTTGGGGACCGATTGCAAGAGCCGACAACTCTTTGTGGAATTCTGGAGAGTTTTCTATTTTCATTTGATGAACCTAGAAATTATAAATTTAATATGTATTATATATTTGTTAGATCAATGAAACAAATTTGTTTATTAATTTATATTACCTTTTCACGAAACCAATTATGAAATTTTCTCTTTTCATCACTTTGCGGATGCTCAGATTTGAATTTCCTATGTTGATGACCAAAAGATATAGATTTAAAAAGATAAAAAAAAAATTAAGGATGAAAGTTAGAGATAAGATTAATTACTTGATATACTGTCTGACTTCTTCACAGATATTCAATACAAACCATTCCATGTTATGCATTTCCGTTAAATTAAGAGTTTTGATTTGAATTGTGCTGGCCGATCGACATTTAGACTCAAACATCCAAAACTTTGTTTTTTCAAAGACAACATCTACATTTCTTTTCGGACGATTCTTTATATCTTGAAGGTACATCGAACAAAATGATAAACCTTCTTCAGCAACATAACCCTCAGCTATAGAACCTTCCGGCTTCGCCTTGTTTCTGACATAGCTTTTTAGTCTTTTCATGTACCTTTCGAAGGGATACATCCATCTCATACATACCGGGCCTCCGGCAATCACTTCATCAGGTAAATGAAAAACTAAATGAACCATAAAGTCAAAAAACGCTGGAGGATAAATCAATTCTAACTTGCACAAGATTGCAATAATGTCCTTTTGCTTTCCTTATATCCTTCACCTTCAATATTCTTGAACAAAGTTGCTTGAAAAACATACAAAGGTCTACAATAGGTGGATACGTATCTTTTTCTAACAACCCTCTTACTCCAATCGATATCAAACGTTGCATAAGAATGTGGTGGTCATGCGATTTCAATCCAATAATGTTAGTATTGGTATAGTTCACTTTCTTACTGATGTTAGAACCAAACCCATCCGACAGTTTAGCCTCTTTTATAAATTGACAAAAGAGTTGTCGAGTAGATTTCTTGAAAGAGTATCTTGCTTGGGGTCTATGAAACTTGTCACCATTTTTTTTGCAACCATTCATTTCTCCGAATGTTTAGAATTCTCAAGTCCTCTCGTGCATTTGATGTGTCTTTGCTTTTATCGTTCATTAGAAGAGTACCTAACAAACTCCCATCCATATTTTTCTGGACATGCATGAGATCTATGTTGTGTTTCAACTGTAGAAAAGACCAATACTCGAGTTCGTAGAAAATGCTTCGTTTCGACCAATTCAACTCGTAATCTTGTCGCTTTGGCTCCCCGCCTCCATGCTCAGGATGTTTACCCGGTTTACGAGTTAGTAGGCGACCTAGTTGCTTTTGTATGTCATCATTACTAAAGTGTCTCAGAGCAGGTCTTCCCTCTTCCATCCCGTTAAAGTCCAACCTCTTTCTTAACAGATCATTATCATCTAGGAAACGACGATGACCGATATATATGACTTTGTTTGTTACACGGTACAAAGGAGTGTCTTCATTGCAAGTAGCACATGCTCTATACCCTTGCCCACTCCAACCTGATAGACTACTACGAGCTGGCTAATCGTTTATTGTCCACAGCAACATAGCTCTCATCGTGAAGAATGTGTTTGTTGCCGCATCGTTAATACGTACGCCTGAGTTCCACAATGTTTAAGCTTTTCCACCAACAGTCTAAGGAAAACATCCATATCCTTTCCAGGAGCTTCAGGCCTGGAATCAACAAAGTCAACATAAATGATGACTCTTTCATACAAAGCCAGGGTGGCAGATTATATGTGGTGAGTATGACCAGCCATGTGCTATGTGGATTACACATGTTTCCAAATGGATTGAAACTGTCAGCTGAAAGACCTAGGCGTACGTTACGGGGTTCACTCAAGAAGTCAGGGTATTTTTTATCAAAATCTTGCCAATGTTTCCCATCAACAGGATGAAGCATCACACCATCTTCTGAACGTCTGGTACTATGCCAAATCATATTTTTGGCAGTGTGCCTCGAACAATATAAACGTCGTAGTCTAGGGGTCACAGGAAAGTACCGTAACACCTTATGAGGTACTTTCTTACCCTTGGTGTTTTTATCGATCCATCGGCTCTCTTTACAAATGAGACAAACTTGCAATGAATCGTGTTCTTTCCAAAAGACACAACAATTGTTTTTGCACACATGTATCGACTCATACCCCAGGCCAATAGACTTTAGTTTCTTTTTGGCTAGATAATGTGTAAGGGGAACCTTGTTGCCTTTGGGAAATGCTAATTGCAACAACTCAAGGAGTTGATCAAATGAACTATCAGTCCATTTGTTGTTCACCTTGAAATACATTAACTTTGCTAGAAACTCAAGGGAAGAAAAGATGCAACCAGGATACAATTGAGTTTCCATTTCTTCCAACAATTATGCAAAATCATCATCCACGCCGCTAACACTTGTATTTGAGGTTTCTTCATCAAGGTCAGTATCATTTTCTCTCGACTCCTACATCACATCGTCGATTAAATAGGCCATTTGGTTACTTGGCAAGACGACTGGAGGAATAAAACATTCACCATGATAGATCCAAATTTTGTACAACTTACTGAAACCATTTATAAATATATGGCGTTCAACTGCAGTCGGGTACTTGAAGTAACGGTTATCTCATTTTTCACACGCACATCTGATTTTACCATTACTATCAAGGTGTGACTTCGACTTCTCGATAAAAACTTTGAGTCTTGCTTGGAACTCGGGATGGTTTCGATATAGATTAGTAGTCCAACTTTTATCAATAGACATGATGTTACGAAACATAATTTTGGGTTTAGAGTTTAGTATACAGAATTAGCATTTTTTGTTTTCCAATCCACATTTTTTTTCAATTAAAAGAAAAAAAATTAAAAATTAAAAAAATTAAATTAAAATTTTTTATTTATGCGTTTTTTTAATTAATTTTAATTACAATTACTTGTAATTTATATATGCAAAAGTTGTAAGTATTAATGATAAATATGAAACTATGAAAATATAACATTATAAGTTAATTTGAAGATAAATATGAAACTATAGAAATATATATATTTTTTATTTATAACGTTATATAAATATGTTATAAATATGTTGTTCCTTCTAGTATTTGTAATTTACCGTAGAGATTAATATATTAATATATATATATATATATATATATATATATATATATATATATATATATATATATATATATATATATATATATATATATATATATATATATTTGTAATTTATCGTCGAGATTAAAAATATATATATTTGTAACATATTATGTTGTTGTGTTGTTGTTTCTAGTAATAATTTGTAATTTACCGTCGAGATTATAAAATATACATATTTTTGGTCATAGAGTGTTGATTTATATTTGTCAATTATAATAATCTTATTTTGTAAAGCTTATACTAATATTATTTTGCAATTTTTTATTCTCATTTTTTTTCTAGTTATAAAATTATTAATAATAATAAATATGGCTTAAAAGTATTTAAAACAGGTTTGATAAGTAATTTTTATCGTTTTCATAAAAATCATATTTGTTTTGGTGTGTATTACCAATTTGGTTTTTAAATAATCATTTTAATTTTATTATACCCCCCCCCCCCTAAAAAAGAAAAAACTATCCAATACACAATAATTTATTTTTGTATATATATTTTTTTCAATTCTAGTATCCTACTTACATACATATACCACATACTTTTACATAATACATAAGAATATGAAATTCACATACTTTTACGTATACCTCATATACCCAAAATACAAATACATTCACATACACACAAAATAGCATCCTACTTAAACCAAATACACATAATTTCACATATATAGATAATAACATCCTAATTATACCAAATACAAAAATTTCACAATCATATACCACATTCACAACAAACATACATACATTCATATACACACAATAACATTATACTTATAACAAATACATATAATTTCACATATATTTAGATAATAACATCATATATATATTTCTAGCAAATACTCATATACCACATACATCAAATATCAAATATACACACAATTTTCACATACAAATATCAAATATACACAAAATTTTCACATACAAATATGAAATTCAAAAAAAAAAAAAATGAAATAATAGAACCTGTAGTGGCGGAAATCAACCGGTAATAGCTGGAAAAACTGTTATTCACCCAATGAAACTACAAATCCAAAACCTGGGAGCCATCCAAAATGTCACAAATCACTTCACCAATATTTGCAAGGATAATATACAAATCAAATTACCAAAACTTGGAAATTTAATCAACACTTTCTCAGTGTTAACAAACAAATTAACAAGGAAATTATCAAAACAATTTTCAAATCAAATTACCTTAATTTCTTCAAGAACTCCACTTAGAAATTGGTCCCAAATCACACCTTAATCCCTAATACACTTAATATGACACAAGATATGGAGAAATCAAGATGGAAGAATAAATTTGAGGAAGAACTCGGTAGAAAGTGTAAGGGGCGAAGGAGAAGAGGCAGCAAACAGAAAGCAAGTGAGAATAATGAAGTTCTGTGTGCGTTTTTTTTTATTTGCATCAGCCTTTAGCGGCGACGACTTTTGCGGTGACACTTAGGTTATTAGCTGCGACTATTATCAATAGCGGCGACAATTTAGAGGGAAGGGTACCCTGTCTTTTTTTAGTGTATTATTAGCGGCGACATTTTCAAGCTTTAGCAGCGACACATATGTCGCCAGTATTAGGTTAATTCGGATAAGGGTACCCTAACCGTTGGATTGGATATTTGATCGAACGGTGTAGATGTAACGGAAGGGGAAGACGCGGATTCGGGTGATCACCCTTTAGCGGCGACGTTATTACCGGCGACAGGAGTTTTTAGCGGCGACACTCTCTAGAGTCGCCGCTAAAGGCCCGTGTCGCCAGTAATAGCGTCGCTGCTAAAAAGTGATTTTCTTGTAGTGAAATCCAATATATCTCATCAAGCAAATGATGGAGTGATGATGAGGAAGGTTCTAGCGAAAAGAATTACTTTACTTTCAATTACACTTTGAATAATTTTCTACGAAACATTGAATGTTTTATTATCGTCACAATGAATGGTGATTTCTATTAGATTCAAATGATTTTGCATGCAATTTGGATGTATTTTTTACATTTTAAGTGTTTTACTATATTTGTGTTTGACAGAAAAAGAAGTTAAAAAAAAAAAAAAAAAAAAAAAAAAAAAAAAAAAAAAAACCCTATATAGTTGCTCTCCCGATGACTACATTACATGCCTTCAAACGACACATGTTGTCCCTATGAGTGTACCTATCCCGACGATGTGCCGGTATCACAATTTTTAATAATTCTTTTTAGTAATGATGGTTAACGGCAATATCAACTTATGACACGTTGTTGGTAAACCTTGACATATCTGAATGAATATTATATATCCTCACGTATAGTCATCGGGTTTTCAAGATTGGATATGAGTTAAGAGCTTGGATATGCAGGTTGATGGTGATTTCCTAACTTAGTTTCGAGCTACAATCATAGAAAACTATTGTTATGACCATCATATGACATGACCTTAGGAGTGACCGTCAACGATCAAGTAAATGAAGATGGTCCGGCTAGCAGTGACAAATCCATAAAGAAAACGGATTGCACAAATTTTTTAGGGGTGATGCTACTAGAAAAAACTCATTTTCGAATGCAATTTCCATCACAAAATCATCAATAAACCGACAAATTTACATTAAATTCATAAATATCAGATTTTGTGATGAGTTAATTGCCAACGGATTCGTCACGGATTTATAACATATTTCAAAAAGATTTATAACAAATTTTGATAAATTTTCAATAAATTTACATTTTACAGAAAAAATAAGGACAACACGGCTACCCGTGCAACATGGTATAGCCACCCTTGCCCCGCTAGGATGAACCATGTATGTGATACGATAGTGTTGTTTGTGGGTATTAATATATTTGTTTATATTATAAAAAAATTAGAGGTGCAGCAGCCTCCAACCTTCAATGTTTATAATATATTTGTTTATATTATAAGAAAATAACATAGATAAACTGATTATTTATTTCTTCATAAATATTTAGAAATAAATAAACAACTAGGTGTTTGGTCCGACGGTATTACCTGTATCGGAAAGATTGTGATAAAAAAAAAAAACGTACACTTAGAAATATAAGATTAGGGTGTATCAATAATATTAAATAGTCCTTTGTTTAATATTAAGTGTAGATTATAATTTCCGTTGTTCAAGGGAAGAATATTAAAAAGAGAAAGGTGATTTAGCTTCAGCTTCAACTACAGCTGCCCGAATCTCCTCGAACTTCGAGACCTTTTTGCATGTATATATATAAACCCTCGCCCACCACCTCCACCACACCGTATTCAGGAATCCCTCAAAAGAAACACACACTTCCTACCCATCACAAGGTAACACTATACTAGTAACCCTAATCGATTCACACACACACATACACACATTGTATACATGTACTTGATCTAAAATCTCTCTCTCTCTCTCTCTCTCTCTCTCTCTCTCTCTCTCTCTCTCTCTCTCTCTCTCAACATTTGGTTTTGTGGTGTAGAAAGATGAGCAGGCCAGGAGATTGGAACTGCAGGTCATGCCAGCACTTGAACTTCCAGAGGAGGGACTCTTGCCAAAGATGTGGGGAGACGAGGTATGGTGGTGGGGGTGGCGTGTTTGGTGGTAGAGGAAGTATCATCAGCCCTTCAGCATTTGGCTTCACAGGCCCAGATGTCCGACCGGGTGATTGGTACTGCAATGTTGGCAACTGCGGGGCTCACAACTTTGCTAGCCGCTCGAGCTGCTTCAAGTGTGGTGCGTTCAAGGATGACTTAGCTTGTAGTGGTGGTGGTGGTGGTGGTGTTTTTGATGGTGATATGTCACGTGGCAGGGGTTTCGGGTTTGGTGGAGGAAGTGGTGGTGGAGGCGGTGGCAGCAGCCGTTCAGGGTGGAAGTCCGGTGACTGGATATGCGGCAGGTAATATTGATTCGTCTCCTATATATAAACATCTTTAACCACACTACTTAACTGCCAACACTTTACACTTTCACATACTTTGCATATTTCATGCATGGATAAATGCTCTACGTTGGGATTACTAATAACTTAAGATCATGTGACTATGATTATACCAAGTCCACAATCATGCCAAAATTGTCGCTATTTACATGTAGAATTTAACTCTATCTACATTTAAAGACTTCAATTCCAATTATTTTCCACGCATTTTTCAAGGTTCTATTTTTTATATCCACTTCATAGATCCTAATTAAACTTACTATCTAGACCATTTTCCAACCTATATTATCGATCCCTAAAGGGTATGCAACTTTTTTGCCAGTTTATATTGGAAAATCTGGACTTATCTAGACATGAGGTAGATGAGATCCAAGAACTCAAAAACATTTAAAAGTTTATGGGTGCATGACTAAACTTATAAATTTATTAGTGTACATAATATAGTGACTTGATTTTTGTAGGCCTGGCTGCAATGAACACAACTTTGCAAGCAGAATGGAATGTTTTAGGTGCAACGCACCTCGGGAATCGGGTAACAAGTCTCCTTATTAAGCATGTTGCAGCATTTCCAGTTCCGGGTAAGGCTTTTTCTTTATAGTCTCATTGATATCAATCTATAAAATGTTAATATATTAGACGCAAAATCTAAATTAATATTCGTATGATATAAAATTTCAGGTATCATGGACTTGCTATCTACCAAACAGGAAGAGAGATAAGTGATCGATCAGACAGAATCATCAAGAGCTTCCAGTTGATAGGAAATTCTAAACTGACCCCCCTTTTTGCCCATATCATAATATGCAATCCTATCTTTGATTTTTTTTTTTTTTTTTTTTTTCCTTTTGTCTTTTTTTATATTTTTTTTATTTCAATAGTAATGGTCTTTTGAGCCGCTAGGAGTTTAGGTGAATTATGGTTAATTTAATTACTACAACTCATGTTATATGGCTGATTAATCCCTCATTATTATGTGAGTTTCTTACTTGAGATCGTGTTGTTTGGGGATGGGGTTTATCTAATATTATGGGGTCGTTTTTTTCTTCACATGTTATAACTTGAAAACGTACACAAGTGTTACAACAAAGAAAACAATACCCTAATTACATGATTAAATTGATTTAAATCACCGCCTGATACGTACATATCCTAATGTTCTAACTTCTAATTAAATACTAATTGATGCATGTACGTACAAGAACTTATTAATATTATGGGCCTATGTGTCCCCTAAATCTTCCATTGTGATTTTCGTTACTCTAAAATTTTAAATATAATATTATAATCTATGCATGCCAAACTAGAGTACGTATACGTACATAATGGGACGTGAAATATCAGTCATAGACCCATGGGAAATTTAAACATTAATTCCTGATGAACTTGATTGTTACAGTTTCAAGTTCTGTATTTTATATATCTTGTTTATCAGGCGAATAATTAATTATGAGCGAAACTAAGTTCTTACTTACAAAACATCAAGAAGAAATAGCTGGTTAGTAAGAATGCAACATGACAACATAGGATTCCTAAGTTTTAAAACTCAACATCTTTTCTTCTCACCTAGAAATCTGAAATACTGGTCAAAAAGCTAAGACGCAGATTTTTATTAATTAGTCTCCTGCTAGACATTATTGTTAGCTTTTGCCAAGATTCTTATTATCACATTTTATAAAAAGAAGCTTTATGTTTTACCTTAAAATGCCAATTGGTCAAGCAGTCATATGTCATTATCATCTTAAACTGGGTGCAATTTGCCACAATAAGATTCTTTTTCATTAATTAATAAAAATCTCATCTTCAGTTTCAAAATCTAGCAATCCATTAAAATTCTAGTGAATGAAATCTTGATTTCATTAGTTTGGATCGATTAGCTAGTTGGTCACGCATTACACAATATATATCTACACAATAAGGTTACTATACTATTGCATTGCGATTCGATATATATATAGTACAGTCAAGTAGCTAGCAAGCTGTAATCTGGTTGTATAATCGATTATCTGTGTCCTTGATCTTTGCAGTAAACTTTATTAAACTATTCAGTTCGTGGATATAATCATATAAGATCATACAATAAACATAGCACAAGCTTTTGCTCTAAAAGAAGAACCATAGTAACTTTAATAATGATTTGAAATGGTGATATTTCAAAAACTGATGGTCCATTCATTGCCATTAGTTGCTTTTTTGGGGTGAATTTTATTAAAGGAAGTACTGAAGCATAAAATGATAACAAAGGTAAAGTAATAATTATGTGGAATCTACATTGCATGAAAGATAAAGAAAAGCCAAGCATTGATAGTTTTCAAAGTTCACTTCCCAAGTACTTACTAGAGGAAAGTGAAGGGAAAAGGCATTGGGACTAGTTTGAGTTTGCTCAAAGTCTATCATGGTATATTGTAAAGCAATGCACTTGCTAATTACCAGTTACAGACGAACTAAAATATTTATTTATACAAATATGTATTTATTTCAAGTGGTATTGGGAATGTTCATGATTCAAAATCCCATTCTTATGAATAATTACAAGAACTCTAGATGGATGAAATCTCATGATAGCAATATTCCATTTCATAACTTTTTAATAAGTACATAAGAGCATCCATACTTTAATCAAAGAGTTGGATGAGATGAAATTTATTGTTGAAATTAAATTGATTAAACTTATTCAATAGATATGAATGTTCAATGTTTTTTTACAATGCATTGAAAAACATTTTTAATAAAGACAATGGTATTAGTCAATCCAAACCCAACCCAAAATTAGCGGATTGGTTGAGATTCTAAACCTATTTAATTTAAATAAGTCAACCCATCTAACACATTTAATTAAATAGGTTGGGTTTGGTAAAAATTATCAATTCGTTTTCAACCCATCAACCCATTTAACTTTAATATATATATATATATATATATATATATATATATATATATATATATATATATATATATATATATATATATATATATATATATATATATATTTGAATATTATCATGCATTAGTCAAAGTATAAATTGTATATTACAATGTTGTATTATTATTATTTACGTTTAATAAAATTCAATCCTAATTTTCATCTTTTTTTAGCGCTGATAATACTGATCACTCTCCAAAATCACTGTGAAACTAAACCTTTTAAATGTATTTGAACAAATTGTTTGTATTTATGAATTACGATTGTGCTTTTATTATAATTATGAAGTTTTATTTACGTTTTATAATTTAAGTGGTAGAATATTTAATTATATAATTTATTTAATTGATTTTAATGGATTAACCTAAGTTTAATCCATTTATTTAATAGGTTGGGTCGGGAACTACATAAACAGGTCACCCCGATGACAACCCATTTATATAAAAGACTGGGTTGGGTTGGAAATATCAACCCATTCAAATAAACAGGTTGGGTTGGGTTGAAATTTTCAACCTAATTATTAAAATGGTTGAACCCGAACCCAGTCCAGGTCGACCCATTACCACCTCTATCCTCAACCTAAGATGCCATCACATAAAAACATATACCATAATAAAACCCTAGCTAGCAAAAACAAGCAATCATACAGATCTAACAAATAACTAAGCATAAACATCATCCTATATATCAAGATACAAATCTAACATATCATTACATCATACAATCATGTGATAAACTAGGATAACAATCCAAAGGGGTCGAACTTCATGCATTCGACCCAAAAGTACAGTGAGGAACATTCACCTCGCAAACTGGACAAAATTGATGATGTCCTACTCTAAATCTCAGGTCTCTAATCGATACTTATTTCCACCAAGTGACCAATTCCATTAAAATCCCAAAATACCCAAATACGCTCAAGGTCAAACTTGGTCAAAGTCAAATGGTCAAACCTACTATGTCAACTAATTCAACCCAGACGAGTCAACTTAACATGGCTGACCCGGTGCGAGTACGCGGGGTGTATTCTGGAGGTACGTGTGGCGTACGCGAAGCCTTGCAGTTGACCACTATCGGGTTAGCTAGCCGAGTACATGGGGTGTAACCTCGCAACCTCCAAACTCCATTAATTGCTTAATGGCTTAAGCACTTAAGTCCATATTTCCGATCTAAGGTCCAAATACACTCTAGAGTCATAAAGTTTCCAACTTTATGACTTTACATGTCCAAAAAGTGCTTAACACAAGGTCTTAATCCATTAAGACCTTCTACAAGATGCATAAAGCAAATCTAACAAATAAGACCTCATTTTTATGGATTAGGACCCCTCCTAGGGTCTGAAAGGACAACTCAAATCGGCAAGAGTAACCCATACACAAGATGAGACTTTTGGAGCCAAAAAGTAACATAAAAACACCCAAAAATGAGATCTAACAAACAAGTCATCAAGGTATGAACTTTATACCTTCTAATGATGGAGGAAGATGCCAAACTCCCAGATCCAAGCTTGATTCAAGCTTTCAATGTAACATCCCAAAAATACAAGCCAAAAATTTCATTTCTAAATAAGTTATTAATAAATCTTAAGTGTAAAAACATTCATAATAATATCTCATGTCAAAACCAAAGTGTCAATAATCAAAACATAGTATCATAAAACCATATCAGAGTGTAATCCCAAGGATCTCGTGTGCGGAGAACATGGTGTGATGTGATGTGATCGAGCAGGCTCCCTTCCTTTGAAAACGAAGTACTTGAAACCAAACTGAAAACTATAAGCACGAAGCTTAGTGAGTTCCCCCATCATACCACATAATGCCTATCCCTCGGTATCTTTCAACCGGTATCTGTCTGGCATAACTGGGAGCTGGACTCCCCTTCAGTATCTTTCAACTGGTACTCAGGAACCAACCTTCCCTTCGGTATCTTTCAACTGGAAACCGGGAGCTAACCTCCCCTCCGGTATCTTTCAACCGATATCTGGAGACTATTTCACCCCCTATCACTATCACATAATAACATGTCATAAACATATTGGTTCCATGATAACATAACATAAACGTACTAAATCACATAATGGCATATCATAACCATACTGGTCACATAATATCATATCATAAACATACTGCTCACATAATGGCATATCATAACCAGACAGGTCACATAATAACATATCATAAACATACTGCTAGGCATCCATGAGTTCTGTCCACCCCTTAAGTATCTTTCAACCGGTAACTGTCTTCGGTATCTTTCAACCTGTGACTGAGGACTATTGCACCCCTACTACTACTAACATATATCTCATAACATCCCAGCACAATAAGCATATCAAATAATAGCAACCAGATAATTATCACATAGGCAATAATCTCAAACATAATCACCTACTGGTGGGCCGAAATTGGTGCATTAGACCCACCCTACTGGAAGGTAACTCACCTCACACTACTGAAGTCCCGCAGACTCAACCCTAGCTGCTGGATAACAGATTCCTAAACTGTCAACATTAAAATGACACCCAATTAATAATTGGTTCCCAACACATAACTATAAGTTCTTGGAGTAACATGCTACAATACCCCCTCTGGGCTTGATTCAAGTACAAGGCCCAATCTAAAGGCCTAAAAGTCAAACTATGGGTCAAAGCCCAACATAGGGCCCAATTTTCCAAATTGGGCCCAAACCTTTACAATGTCTTACCATAAGGCCCAACCAAAAGTCTAGTCCAACATTCGATATTCTATGGCCCAAAATCATATAACCATTAAGGCCTAAACTATGGCCCATCTATGGCCCAATTTTCCAAATTGGGCCAACTCCTCGTATGGGCCTTACCTCGAAGCCCATTAATTATTCTAGTCCATTTACTTGATCCTGGATGGCCCATTAATTACCTA